TGAGTTTCGGAAAGATGTCAGTCAGAAACATGACAGGGTATTAGTTATAGGCAGTACTGGGGATAATAGACGGCATGCAGAACTCATGAGATGTATAACCGAAGGTACCTCACATGAAGAGCGTGCTTCAATTGAACTCGCTAGAATGTGTGATGGAAGTCTAATCATCTGTAGCCATTAGCTAATAGCTATTGTGATTCACTGTCTATAAAGTGATCACTCTATTGTTATAGTGCATTCAGTTAGTGGGTAGAGCTCGAGATTGAGTTCTTCGTGTCGTTTGAAATCTGAAGAGTTGATATGTTTCAGAGAGCGATGTTTCCAATTCCTCGCTAATTATAAGGAATTGATCCATGGTGTACGTTTATTGTCTTCAGTTATTCTTTGTTATTACGTGCTTAACATGTCAGTGACGTTAACACTCGCTATTGCGCTTGTCTCATACTTCAGCGTGTCCTTGTCTACGGCAGAACAGGTTGTTCTGGCTTCTGAAGCTTCTGGAATTCCGGATTGCACGGAAGCTGATGCTTACTGTGCCTCTATTATCCCCGGGTCCTATTGTAAGTATTGGAGTACTCCTAGTGTTTGCCAAAGTGATCGACGTTTGACCGAGGGCTCTGGAAAGCGTCAACTTTGGGAAAATGTCAGATGTGATTGTCTATGGGCTACCACCACGACTACCCCGGCTACCACGACTACCCCGGCTACCACCACTACCCCGGCTACCACCACGACTACCCCGGCTACCACCACGACTACCCCGGCTACCACCACCACTACCCCGGCTACCACCACGACTACCCCGGCTACCACGACTACCCCGGCTACCACCACGACTACCCCGGCTACCACCACGACTACCCCGGCTACCACCACCACTACCCCGGCTACCACCACTACCCCGGCTACCACCACGACTACCCCGGCTACCACCACGACTACCCCGGTCACCACTACCCCGGCCACCACGACTACTTCCAGCACTCCGGGTTGTCCAGAGGGTGATGCTTACTGTGCGTCTATTATGCCAGGATCATATTGTAAGTACTGGAGTACTCCTAGCTACTGCCAGAGCGATCGACGTTTGAGAATGGACTCTGAGACGCGTCAGCTCTGGGAGAGTATCCCATGTGATTGTACCACAACTCCTCCGACTACTACCACAACTCCTCCGACTACTACCACAACTCCTCCGACTACTACCACAACTCCTCCGACTACTACCACAACTCCTCCGACTACTACCACAACTCCTCCGACTACTACCACAACTCCTCCGACTACTACCACAACTCCTCCGACTACTACCACAACCCCTCCGACTACTACCACAACTCCTCCGACTACTACCACAACTCCTCCGGCTACGACCACAACTCCTCCGGCTACGACCACAACTCCTCCGACTACAGCTCCCCCATCTACAACTACTTCCAGCGTTTCGGAGTGTCCTGTTGGTGATGCTCACTGCGATTCTATCATGCCCGGATCCTATTGTAAGTATTGGAGTACTCCTAGTTTCTGTCAAAGCGATAGGCGTTTGAGCGAGGGCTCTGAAGCGCGTCAGCTTTGGGAGAGTATTCCATGTGAATGTATCTGATCTTTCGCTAGCAAGAATAATGCTGAGTAGTTTATGTTCGACTAATCCTTTAATTTTTTATTTTAATCTCATATCCGTAAACTCAGCTCTGGAATAGTGAAGCCGCACATCCAGGATGCGCCGACGGTTTACCAATTCTCACGAAAATGGATTGAAGATGTTGAGTTTGTCAGTGCAATAGGTGAAGTGTTATAGTTGATTGCCCACACTGTGAGTCTATTAAATAAGCTGATTTCTGTCAAAATGAGATTTGATCCAAGTTAACACGTTGTTGTATAGGCGATCGTTGCTCTGGTGGACAAAAAGTTCTCGGGCGAAATCAACACTTTTGATCCTCATTTGTGTACACAGAGCAACTCGTTTCCCGTTGTGAAAACTGTTGCTAACTTACCTTCGTCGCTTACTCGCTTTAATAGCAACGAATGCCTTCGCCGTTTACTCGCTTTAATAAGAACGATAGCTATGATGACAATGAGTGCCATGGTTTCGCCTCAATGTCCTTGATGAATATTCATGTAAGAGATGCACATCCGAAATACATACCATAATGTCTCATGCGTGACGAGGTATTCGGCATGATTGAATGGTGGTAGTTTCGTATGAAATCGACCGTTCGATAGACCAGTGAATATACGATAGGCTTGCGGATCAATAGAGAAGAGTTATTGGGACGACGAGAGGTACGCCCAACAGACTTCTTGCAAGCACACTGGAAGTTGATCGTCACTGATGAGAAGCCCCCATCCACAAGTTGCTCAAGCATATCAACATGCAGAACTTATTAGTTGCAACAGTGAATACATGCCAGAC